TCCTTCACTGTCTCAGTGTCTGCTCCTCCATCTGGAACGGGAGCTTCTGACAAGTCAGATCGTGATATGCGTCTTCCTACCAGCGTTGTACAATATTTCTTGTGTGAGCACAGGTGATCCACAAGGATTATTTCTTCATTTACTTTCACTTCTGCTGAAGTCTCTTTTAAATTCAACTACTGCTTCACCTGTAGCATCCACCTCCTACTGGAAAGTGAGTAAAATGATCATCTCATTATAAGGATGTGTGTAAAGTACTTTGAACACTGAAGAACTGCTACGATATGTCCTGAATTGTGCAGGGAATGGCCTAAATGGCCTGCAAAAAGCCCTTCTAACTCTGTGAATCTCTAATGTTGTACATTAAGTAAATAAAAATATCCATTTCATGGCTAAGAAGGGAATGGTGATGAAAATGAAAGAAAACGTTGCCAACTGGCACAAAGTTAAAGTACATCCAAACCAGATAAAATCCTTGCAAGCATAACTGTACACATAAAACTTTCCTCATTTTGTTTCGTGGAAAGGGCAAGTCTGTGAAAAGGAAGAGGTTGAGAACAGATCTGCCTCCTCCACTTACACGAATGAAGAAAATGCCAACATTTATTTTCCTGAAACCTCCAATATTAACCCACTGCACAATTCTTACCCACATACATCACAGTCTAGCTACAGTTGAATCAAAGGCATGACCTTTAATGACAGTGCGGTGTCAGTAAAGCATAGCAGGAGAGCAATTCAAGATGGCTACGTATGCATTAAGCTTTGTTTTCCACTGAACAATATAATTGGATTTTTTAAAATGGACAATTAACTACAACATTTTTTAACAAATCCTGGAATGTGTATTTATATTATGGTGACCAAAGGAACTCAAAATTGAAAAAAAGCAGGCTATTACTGTACTTCTCTATGATTATCAATCCTCTGGTGCAGGATGATTGTAATTATAGCTTCTTTCCAATTCCCAGGATTGTTTATTGACGCTGAAACAAGGCTGATGAGGGCAGTGGTTGCTTGTAGAAACTACAATTTTACAATGATGAGAGCTCCCATCCTCAGTTCAGATGTGAATTTCAGAGTTTTAGTGTCATGGTAAAGAAAAGGGTTTGACCCTAACCACACTACTTATTTTCCTCTCTAATGGGATTGTAGCAGCCAACAGCAGTCAGAAACAAAGAAAATGAATTAGTAATTTTTATTTAAAAAATAAAAAATATTTAAAAGCAGAAGCAGATTTAAAAAGCAGCTGGCATCACTTACAGCAACCCACTCAGTGCAGCAGGCAATACACATGCAGACATACAGAAACACAATCAAACATGTTGGTATCAGCCCCAGGTGCACCAGTAGATTTGCTCCCTGCATCTTCATATAGTCCCCTGCTTAGTCCTGAATAGCCACCGGTGCTGATATGTGACATCAAAGTGTCAGGGAATGAAGATTAACTCATACCAGTTCTGTGGGATGGCTGCAGATTGAACCCCATCTACCTATTTATTCTCAATCTCTTTAAATTTAAGAAAAATCTGAGAGAACAGGCTTGATCACTTATGAGCTGGAAAAGGTTGAAGGAATCAAGAGAGCTGGCTTAGCAGTTCAACCAAATGAAAAATGGTGATCTATAAGTGCAGTATAGAAGAGGAGCCCACAGCAGACAAAGATGCTGGAAGGGAGCAGCTGAGAACAGGGTAGACCTGTGTGTGACAGAGAGAGGCAGAAAGACAGAGAGAGACAGCCAAGGGAAAAGAGGAGACAATATGCAGAAGAGACTACTGGGGATGGCAAAAGCCAATGCCAAAGTGGTGTAATGGTTAAGGTGATGGACTGTTATGGGGAACACCAATATTCATGCTCACTCTCAGCCATGGATGTCCATTGGATGGATTAGTGGCCATCATTAATCACAGGGTTACTTTTGTGGAGAAAAGTCAGAGAGGAGGGAGTACTACGTATGCCATCTTCAGTATATAATATACATCTAACAAACAAATAAGCACATTTGATGAAAGAG